TAAGAGTTTCTGAGTGGTGGAGCCAGAAGAAGATCCTGGAAGTGACCGTGGGGAACGAGGGGTGTCACGACTCCCCCCAAGATGATTGTCTGGGGAGTGGATTGCAGAGGATGATTGGGGATGTGATATGGGGGGGCAGGCCTTAGGGAGGGCTTGTGGATGTTGTGAATGATGAGGGAACTCTGTTGGGAGGAGGAGCTTCGGACCTTAGCCTGGGGAGGATGGAGAGAAGGTCATTGGCCCCAGGGGCAGGCCGAGTTGCTCAGTTCCTGTTTGCAGAACCAGGATCTGTGGGCTGGAACTGAGGGACAGACCTAAGAAGCAGGAGGTTAACGAGATAAGTAAGCAGATAGGAGGAGCTCACCTAGAGGCCTGGGAAGAAATAGAGGCCTGTTGTCCACATCATCAAGCAGCTATTAAGTGTCCTCCTGGGCCAGGCTCTAGGCTGAGGCTGGGCTACAAAGAAAGGCCAGAAGCTGCCCCTGCTCTCCAGAGGAATCCCTTCCAGGGTGGGAAGGCCGGGGCTAGAGTGAACTGCCAGCTGAGGAGCTGCTGGCACTTGGTAGAGAAAGGCCTGAGAGGCCAGAGTTGGGCCTGGAGAGGGATGGGGATATTTCCCTGTAAAACCTTATTGTATGAAAACAAAAATTTAGAAAGGTTGCATTTTCATGAACCATTATTAGTGGCTTAACAAGTAAGGGTTTCACATATCTAAAGTGGATTGAGTTCCTTACTTAGAGTCAGAAAGAGTTTGTATTATTTATTCAAGTTGGTACTCAAACCTTTTAAACCTCTGAACCTTATCTATAAAATGGGAATAATGGTATCTTCCTCACTGTGTAACTTTGAGGATCTAGTGAGTGTAATGGTTTTGAAAAGCTTAAAAAGCTATGTAAATGTTAGTTATTATCATTACTATTTCCTTTTGTTGTTTTGGTCTTCTTGGTAGAGATAATAGTTTGCTGTTTCCTTCAGCTCATTTTATAGATGAGGAGACTGAGGCAGATAGGGTGAAGTGACTTGCCCAGGGTCACACAGCTAATAAGTGTCTGAGGCCAGACTTGAACTCAGGAAAGGGAGTCTTCCTGACTTTTGACCCCAAACTCTATCCCCTGTGCCACACAGCTGCCTCTTAGCCTTCACCTCAAATTCACCCAGCTTAGCACCCGAGATCCTCGATTTCAAGGTGGAAGGCAATGGCAGATCTGGGATTTGAACCCAGGCCCTCTGTCTCCTCCTCAGGCCTTTTCCTGTCCCTGCGGGGCCTCCCCAGATGACCCCTCTCTCCTTCCCTCCCCTCTCCCTCTCCCTCTCCCACCTGTCATCTGTCTACTCTGTCTCTCTGCTGTGTGCAGATGCATCTGTCTCTGTTCTTATAGAGCTCTCTCCCGATCTTGACCTGCCGGTCTTGGCTTGGCTCAGCCTGGCACGTAGACGGTAGTGTTTGTTGCCTGCCTGCGTGGCTCCCCTGAATGGTGGCAGTTCACTGGTTTCAGTTCCGACTCTTTATTTCTGCCCCATCTCCAGCTCCTCAAACCAGGAAGCTCGGCACTCTCCCCAGCCTTGGAGGGCCATTTTAGCTTCTTTTGATCATGATCCGAGCAGCAGCAGCTCGGGCCTTGTACCAGACACTGAAGGTCGATAAAGGTGGCTTAGTCTCTCTGTCCCTAAACCTAGTGCTCAGCACATAGTAGGTGCTTATCCCCTTCCCTGAAGCGGTTTATACCATAGAATCAAAAATAGTTTGATGCTGAGGGAATGCCTTAGGAGGAGAGGGAGAAGTGGTCTGAGATGAAGTGGTCTGAGAATTTGAGTGGTCAGAGATCATTGTTTTGGAGGAGGAAGGGAGAAAGTAGAGGATCAGAGAGGACTTCCTGGAGGAGGAGGCCTGCCCTGAGCACCACCTTGACAGGAAGCATTGGAACAGCCAGAGAGGGAGCCCGGTGGAGGCAGGAGGGGGAGCAAAGGAAGCAAGAATTAGGCCCGGGACCTCCCTGGCTGGGGGCAGGAAGGAGCCTAGTAGGAAATGAGACTGACGGATGACTTGTGCAGGGCCCTCTGTTGGTGCCTGTGCAGCTCCTGCTTTCTTAGGAAAAACACTCTGTTGTGACCTGTATTCAGTGCTTACTGTGTGCTGCAAAGCTCTGGGCTTGAAGCTGGAGTTACTAATACCCGAACTAAGGAGTCCCTGCCCTCCTGGAGTTTTAGGAGCCTAAGAGAGCAGAGACTTGTAAATAAATGTTGTAAAGTGTGTAGAAAATGGGGGGACAGAAGGGAGAGAGAGGGAGGGAGGGAGACAGAGAGGAGAGAGGTAGAGCCTGGGGGAGGGGAGGTGAGATGGGGTGGAGAGAGACAGAGATGGAGAGAGAGACGGAGGGAGAGACAGGTAGGGGAGAGAAGAGAAAAGAGGAGAAGAGAGAGAAAGAAGTGGGGGAGAGATAGAGGAAAGGAGAGAGTGGGTTAAGTCAGTGTGTTAAACAGATGGGAAGAGCCTTCTCTGGGAGGGAGCCTGTGAGCCTGGCTGGCTTGTAGGTCACATAGGGAGGAGGATTTAAACCCTGCCTGTTAAAATTGAGTAACATTTTTAAGACTGATAGCTTGAGTTTTTGCAAAGTGATTGATTATCAGCGTCAGCGTCAGGCACAGGTGTCTGCCTCAGACTCCTCCTCTCTGATGACCAAGAAAAGTAAGATTTTAGGTTTGTTTTTTTGTTTGTTTGTTTTTGTGTCTGCCGAATTTCAGAGAGGAGAATTATGAATAAGTAAACTTATTTGCTCATACCATGCACATAGAACTAGTATTTTCTGTGTCAAAATATTTTTCTAACTAAAAATTAGAAAAATTCTAACTAAAAATGTCAGCTTTTTAAAGCTGACATCTGGAAGGAATATGTTGTCCCCTCAGTGACTTTCCTTTGGATTAGAAAAGTTAGAAAAACAATTACAAACAAACAAAAACAGTTTTTTTACGGAAAAAATATATGAAGTCATGGTAAAATATCTTGTTGCTAAACAAAGGGTGTTATATTTTAAAATGAAATTATTTTCCTATGGCTATTTATATCCTCCCTTACTTTCTCAGCGAGATTGGTTAGGGGTCAAATAAGAGTGAGATACAATGATTTCTGAAGTGACTTTATTACCCTTTTAATTTCTAAAGTAACTTCTGACTGTAAATTTTATTCTCAGTAACACTAATCTTATTAAAAATCTTGTGAAGCATTTGTCCTAAGTCTGGTTAAGTACTTAACCAGATCTATGTGTGCTAGTATTTCAGAAGTTCTGTATTCACTTTCCAAAGAATGCAGGATTTAAAATTAATTTACGTTTAAATAGGACTATGTCCCCCATCTCCTTTTCCCCCATATAAAGGCTAACATTTCTATAGGCTGTCAAGTTCCTTTCTCTTTTTTTAAATTTTTATTAATTTATTTTGATTTATCAACAATTACTTCCATAAGCTTTTGAGTTTTAAAATTTTTCCCCCTTCCTTCCCCCTCCCTCCCCAAGACAGCATGCAATCTGATATGTGCTATACATATACATTCCTATTAAATATATTTTCACATTAGTCATGTTGTAAGTAAGAATTAGAACCAATAGGAGGAACCACCAGAAAGAAGAAACAAAACACAACAGAAGAAAAAAAAACAACAAATAATATGCTTCGATCTGCATTCAAACTCCATAGTTCTTTCTTTGGATGTAGATAGCATTTTGTATCACGAGGCCTTTGGAGATGTCTTAGATCCCCGTATTGCTGAGAAGAGCTAAGTCTATCAAAGTCAGACATCACACAACGTGGCTGTTACTGTGTACAACGTTCTCCTGGTTCTGCTCACTTCACTCAGCGTCAGACCATACAAGTCTTTCTAGGTTTTTCTGAAGTCTGCCTGCTCATCATGTCTTACAGCACAATGGTATTCCATTACATTCATATACCACAACTTGTTCAGCCAGCAGTATGTCAAAGAAGAGGAAATAGAAGGGATCCTTAGTGCATGTAGGGGGGCTGGCCTGGGCCTGGAGAAGAGCCGCCTCTTAAAGTGAGATGGGGGTGAAGGAGGAAACAGCTGGGGAGATAGAGGAATGATGATGGGAACTGAGGAGGGGAGAAGAAGGAGGGGGCTCTTGCTGTGAACGGGTCTTAGTTTTTTTTTAGGAGCCAAGATTCACACCTAAAAGAGTGTGTGGGGGAGAGCTTTGGGAGGTTTGGGAAGGGGTGAAAAGGCTTTCCAAAGCTGTTGTGGTGAGAATTAGGGAGATCTTAAAAGATGGCCTTGTCACAGTGAAGGCCCAGTTGAGATTGTGGCTGAGATAATTTTTGTAGCCTGTGTTTATAGTGGACCCAGTGATCTTGGAGCTAAATCCAGGACACCAAAGGTACCTGGGAGGCTACTGAGTGCAAAAGCCTTTCACTTTACAGATGTAAGGATGAGAACTAAAAAGATGCATTGTGTGACCTGGGTCACCCAGGCAGGAGATATTGGAAATGAGATTGGAATACAGGGGCCTCGGTGCCGAGGTCAGTTCTCTTGCCACAGTGCTGCAGCTGTGCTTAGCTCCCTCATAGGCTTTTTTTTTTGGTGAGGTAATTAGGGTTAAGTGACTTGTCCAAAGTCACACAGCTAGTGAGTGTTATGTGTCTGAGGTTGGATTTGAACTCAGGTCCTCTTGACTCCAGGGCTGGTGCTCTATCTACTGTACCACCTAGCTACCCCTCCTAATTGGCTTTTTAAGGGTCAGAATGATCAGATAGGAGGGACTGGCCTTCAACAGCCCGGGAGCCTGGAGGGCCCCATGCTCCAAGGGCAAAATGTATTGGGAAAAAATGAAAGTTTTTCTCCCTTCCAGGAGCCCACTTCATATCCCTTCTATTCACAAAGGCATCTGGGAAGCACATGTGTTTTACTTTAGTTTCTATACCTGTATTTGTCCCTAAGGTTTTACATGCAATCATGCTGTTAAGTCATTCATGTTTTGCATTTTGTTTCATTTCAGGCCAGCCTTTCCATATGGGGATGGGGAAGCCTTGGCGTTGTGCTTTTCCTTGTAACGTTTGGACCCTTTGCTATCTTTTACTTCGCATTTTACGTCCTCTGCTTTGTGGGCGGGTAAGTACACATGTCTGCATTTTATCGTTCACATTAAGAGTGTAGTTCATCCTTCATAATTGACACTGAGAAATGATCATTTGTAATGTTTTGGTTGGAAAAAAGACATACTTTCCCAGAGCATGGAAAAGACAATTAATATGTCAAGAATTAGAGCAGAGAGTCAGAGGCTGTTAGAACCATGAGGGATGTCTGAGCCTCTGTTGGTGACAAAAGTGTGAGTCACGTTCCCCTTCACTTTGGGAACTGACTGCCAGTTTTTGAAGACTTAGGAATTTGCGTTAGTAACAACAATCACCACGTTATCTTGGAGTCAAATTGGTTTATTTTTGTAACTATATTTTTTGCCTTGAGATGATAATAATTATTTATAGAATACTTTTAAGGTTTGCAAAGCACTTTACAAATACTTTGTTTTATTCTCAGAACAGCTCTGGAAGGAAACTAAGGTGGAGTGGTCAAATGATTTGTCCAGGGTCACACAGCCAGTCAGTGACTCAGGATTCAAAGTCTGGCCTCCCTGATTTCTGATCCTGCACTCACTCTATTCCTTGAGCCACCTGGCTGCACAGTTACTCAGTCTGATAATATTAAAATCAATGTGAGTTATATTGGCCTGGTCATCTGGGTTTTCCTCATCTGTGTTACTTTGCCTTGACCTAGTCACTTAACCTTTTGGGGCCTCGGTTTCCCTTGCTTTCAGGTGAGTGAGCTGCTGCCCTCTTCTAAGAGTGACTCCTTGTCGTTAGCCTTCCTTTTTCCCTCCTCCAAGGAGCAGAGATTTCCTCACTGGGGTGGTCTGATCTCCACTGAGGAAGGTCCCAGTGTGCTACATTATTTGGTGAGAGGCTCCTCGTGGCATGCCATGGCCTGAAAGTCCCCAAAGCGGTACCTGCTGGTCACGGATAGGTGATGAGTCCCGAGCTGAGCCCTGAGCTGGGCTTGTTCTGGGGAGCTCAGTCTGCAGGTCGGGCCTCTCCAGGAAGCCTGTCGAGCAGGACTTGGGCCCTGTTCGCTGAGCCTTCCAAAGCCCTCGGGGAGACTGCTGGCTGACAGTTTTTTGATGCCTCTTCCTATGTTGCCTACTGCAGACTTTTAGTGAGAATGTTTGTTATTCCAGTGTGGATGTTTCCATTTCCTTGTGGAAAAGTAAATCTGAAAACACCTGCTTTTGTGGCTGTCAGGGATACGTTCGAGGGGATTCCTTCTCGAGGGTGGATGGGTCCAGATTTTACTATTCTGTGAGAATGGCTTTTGGCATTTCCTCTAAGAACACTGTTCAAGTTGTAGTTTAGCTTACGGATGGGGTAGTGGACCTGGGAGGTCACGGAACCTTGGTCTGAAACCTTGCCAAGTCACTCAGCCTCTTGGTGGGAGCCTTTTTCTTCATTTTCAAGTGGGGATAATGCCCATAGCTGCTTCTCTGGGTTATCCTGAAGCTCTGAGGAGCTTGTGAATGTGAATCAGCACTTGGCAAATCTTCAAGGGCCATTTTATTTGTCTTTGGTTGTTATTAGGAAAGAGAGCACCTTGAATTGCCTCCTAAGCCCACCCTGGGAGAGGAGAGAAAACTTCTTTTTTTGCCCTGTATGGCTCCATCCTTGCAGGTGTCCAGGTTGGCGCCTTCTATACAGTATTGCATTCATGTGTAACACCCTGTGGTTGTGATAGGGGCGACCCAGAAACCTCCTCATCTGAATGATGACGTCTCAAGTGGCCTGGATGACGATGGGCTCTCTAGCAATGGCAGGCCACCGCCTGCCCGTGGCTTATTGTGACAGCGGATGGGGGCTGGGGTTCAGTTGTGTGTAGGTTTTCTGTTAACTGCTCAGGTTTTCTGTGCCCCAGCATAACTCTGCGAATTGTGTCATCTGTCAAGTATTTTAAAACTTGGACAGCAGTTTGACTTTTTTGTGTCCTTTGAATTTCACATTTGTCTGTTGGTGTTATCAAACCAAAAACATGACTGTAAAATCTGAGAGAGATGGAAGGATTTTTCTTTTGGAAACAGGAGTATTTAAATTTCTCCTGTTTGCTGTTTATAAAAACGTCAGTGTCAGTGGCTTACCCACCCACCCTGGCCCATCTGTATTCAAAGTGAATTTCTTTTCTCTTGGTATAAAGGATACTCTTGGAAAGAAATCCTGTTTTCTTTCAATAGATGACCTCAGTGCTGCGTAGAGGTTATGCTGTCTAGCATTGCCTGACTTTTGTTGTGTTCTCGGGCAACACAGCTGCCCTGTAGTTTCAGTATTCTCAGAACAACTTAAATGTCAATGCACACAACTTAATTAGGTTCTTTTTAAGATCACTGTGTTCCCAAGGTTTCCCCAGCTAGAGTGTTTAATCGTTTTTAGTAGGCTGATGCTTACTTAATTCAAGTTATATTAATGTGTGAATCTGCACGTTAATATACTCCCCTCACCAGGCCAAACTAAAATACACAGCCAATTCTCGATCATCCAAGTCAGTGAGGTCAGGCATAAATAACATGGAGAGATGAAATCCACAGATAACCTCCAAATCTAATTTTAGGTGTTGACTCAGTGGCTTCAACCCCCAAACCTTGTACCACAACTGCAGATGCTGCTTAGAAAAGTGAACCAAGATGGATTGAAGAGCGCTGAAGTGTTTTCTATACAGAACCTGCGTCACCCCCACCGCCCCCCAAAAAAAGGAGAAAGATTGATTGTCTTGGAATAATTGAAGCTGACCATATTTAGATGGCTTTTCACCCTCTTTCCTTCTCTGTTCCCTCTTTCCTTAGCCTGAGGGCTCTGGAAGACTTAGAATTCCTTTTTTTTTTTCCTCCTGTGAACACTGCTGTGTTTGTAGGCACTCCAAAGTACAAAGGAGAGCCAGGATTGAAAGTAACGTGTGTGTGTGTGTGTGTGTGTGTGTGTGTGTGTGTGTGTGTGTG